TTCTGTCAGAAAAAGAAAATTCCCATACAATATAAGAAAGTCAACGGAATTAGTTATGGGACGACACTTTTTTAAAACTTTTTCGAGGCTAATCATATGTTAGATACATTTTCAATCTCTTTTAAAACAGATTTTTTTACTTCCTTCCATACTGTCATGCGATTTGACGAATAAACAATAAAATACTGGTTTTTGGCATTTCAAGAAGAATCAGAAACTCTTCCTTGTACTCAATAGAATATATTTTTTTCTTGTCTATTCATCAAATTTACACCCACATCCTAATTTTTTGAGTTCGTTGACGCTTCAAACCTTTTTGTGACAATTGTCAATTCTCGTTCGAATAGAAAAGTTTGTGAAGAGAAAACAGGAAACATGCTAAATCTTTCAAGCATCAATAAACTTTTCTAGTTATCTTTTGAAAGGGTGAAGAAAACAAAAGTATGATGAGGCATTCTAGAATTTCCTTCTCATCTTTTTTCAACTACACGCTTTGTTTGACGTTTCTGCTCAAACTTCTATACTTGTTCTCAAGTGGCATAATGTCGTTTAAGACTATAATATAAATAAAAACTTTAATTTCCTCATTAGAAAATTTTCTATTGTGCTGGTTTCAACAATAATATCAAGGAATTTGTGAGACAGAGTTAAAAGGATTCCAATTAAATGTGAATACAATAACTCATGACAGTAAAATTTCAGCAATGATAAAAAGGAGACAAAAAATTTATTTATTTATATTATATACATATAGCAATATATTTTATGCTGTCTGTTCTTGAGACTCTCTTAAGGTATATATTTAGTGAAAATCTACAAGCTCAACAAGAACAAAAAGCAGCATAAGATGCTGGAGGACATCTATTTATTGTAAAACATTTATGAATCTATTCATGACGCAATATGAAATAAAAATTTCATATAGATACAATTTATTGCGTTGCTTGAGTACGATTATGCTTTTTTTTATTGTTATTTAATTACAAAGAAGTGAAAAAGGAAAACATAAATTTTAAGAGTATTTTTCTCTGAATGTTGACATGTATTTGTAATGGAATTAAACATCCGATCTTTTTCTTGCGTTATATCTGTATTCAAGCGTTTTTAAATGAAGAAATAACCCTCGCTCCCACATAATCGTCATTGACTGAAAAGGATAAAATATGTAAAAGAGATTTGATTTTATATTAAAGTAAGTTTTCTTACAAAAGGTTTTCTTATTTATGAGTTTAAGAAATATTCTGAATTAACAGACACAGATAAATTATTTTGGGGCTGCTGTCAACAAAAATAAATGATGAAATGCATCAGAGAGTTGAAGTAAATTTACGTAAAAACGGCTATGAATGTTAAAAGAGAATAGAAATAAGGTTTTTACCCATATTTCTCTGTTTAGCACTTATCATTAGAATATGTAAAACAATGCAGCCACGATTTTTTAATCCTTTTGTGTACCGTCATTTAAAGCTTCATAATATCAATCAATCACTGTCGTAAATCTGAATAAAGCTTTACGTTTCTTCTTTTTTCTCTTTACCTAATATTTCAACTTTTAGAGTGATATGATAAGGATTTTTAATAAAAAGAAATTTTTAACATCATGGAAACAATATTTAGCACTTTCATCTCATTTAAGTTGATGGGAAGAGACAAAATTAAAAACTTAGTGCCACGTAGGAATCTGTTGAAGTTTCCTTATAATCTCACTTTGCACATGAAAAGCTTTTTGCAACTTTCTTTTTCCCTCTCTCTCTCTCTGTCTCTTGCTTCCTGAAGCTCTTGTTAATTTTATCTTTTAAAATTTAAAGAGAATGAAGAACTTCACAATTTAATATCGTCATGGACTTGGAATTAACAAAGCAAAGAAGAAGATAGTTGGTTCATTATCACCACAATTTTAGAATTTAAATCTACCAAGCATAAACTAAATTGTATTTATCTAAAAGGTTTGTTCACTTTTGTCGATTCTACTCTTTGAATTATGCTTTACGTTTGTTATGAACCCATAAAGTACTACCAATTATAATTTCACCCTTCAAAAGTAGCTATAAAATGTAAACAGCAATCATTCTTTAATTTCTTTTTCCACTCATTTTTAAACATTCAAGAATTTTCATCACANTAAAATTGAAAGAGAATGAAGAACTTCACGATTTAATATCGTCATGGACTTGGAATTAACAAAGCAAAGAAAAAGATGGTTGGTAAAATGTTAAGTTTTCATTAATTAAAATTATTTTTGGATCCTTCATTATCACCACAATTTTAGAATTTAAATCTACCAAGCATAAACTAAATTGTATTTATCTAAAAGGTTTGTTCACTTTTGTCGATTTCGATTCTACTCTTTGAATTATGCTTTACGTTTGCTATGAACCCATAAAGTACTACCAATTATAATTTCAGCCCTCAAAAGTAGCTATAAAATGTAAACAGCAATCATTCTTTAATTTCTTTTTCTACTCATTTTTAAACATTCAAGAATTTTCATCACACTATGACAGTCTAAGTGATGTTTTAATTTACATAGATAATTTTGAATTTGACAAGAAAATTGTGTTACGGACAACCACAAAAAAATTATGAAATCGTTAACTTAAAAAATTGTTTCGTTTTGCGCACGATCTTAAATGAAAAATTGTTTTCCTTTTTAATTATCTAGCTCATTTTTTGTGTGTGAACAAAGGAACATAAGCGAGAAAATTGTAAGATGATTAATTTTTCCCTCGCGCTTTTATGAAATTTAAAAGGACATCGGCGAGGGTTTGATATTTTTTACCTGATGAGTTTGCTTCGCATCCGTACCATTGTCACCATGTTTCATATTAATTGACCTGCTGCGTTAAAAGCATCTCAAATGTTGGATCCTTGATACTAACTTAATTTATAATTTAGAAATTATCACATCCGAAATTTAGGTTATAAAACAACATGAGAAAATTGAAGAGCTGCTTTAAAACTTAATAAGAAATTATCACAGCATGTGCTTAGATTTCTCATGTTTAGATTTTACCATATTTTTATTGTTAAAAGTTTCCTCTAACAAAAAATTATAATTGTTAGTAAGATCATCTGGAACATTTGATATTCAAGTGAATGCTAAATGTTTATTCAACTCAATCAGATGTTCATGCATGAATACATGTGTTTACTTATTCTAGTATTTTTTGAAGTGATTCTTAAGAATTTATGAAATAAGAGAATGAGCTCAATTGGAGAGCTAAATGCAAATATTAAGCCCAATGATGTAACGCGCAGAAATAAATAATTTGATTTCTATCTTTCTCTTATGGTAGATAATATCATTTTCATGGAAGACTGTTGGTAAAACGTGCTGTCACGTTCCTTTTCTAAAGATGTTTACAAGGTTCTTAGCTTTACCTTGTACTACATTGTGCCAGCTTTTTCTTTTCTTTTTCTTGCTTTTAATTTTTAAAGCATCTTGAAATTGATTGACACTCCACGGTGCGCTCAATCATAGTTGATATATAAAGCAAACGTAAAATTTCTTTCTCAAGTAAAATGTGCAAATATTTACCAAGATTCTTGGTAGTGAGGTTTTTTTATCACAGCATTGTTTGCAAAAAATCCAGATGATGGTGCATGATGATGGGTGAGAGCGAGAGAATAAACATGCAAGCAATAAGTTTAACAAGATTGATATTTATCTGAATTTTGATGCGATGACATGTTAAATGTTATAACATAATGTTGTAAGATGCAGAGATGACATAAGATTGTGTGGAAAACTAGTTTTGAATGCTCTTGCTAAACAAAAATTTGCAGATATAATAAATTTCTTTTTTTATTTTTTTTATAAACCTAAAATTGGTCACTGAAGAATCTCGGCGAAAACTACAGAACTAGTGTATTAGTATTTTCATGCAACCAACATTCATGAACTTTATTCCTTCATTCCATTACATGGCGAATTGTAATTTTCTGCTGACTTTTTCAAACCCAAGTATCTGCTGAAGAGAAGGAAGACTTCGAAACGGGTGCTGGGTGAATACGATACAATATTTACAATATTTTAACATTTATCACGTTGCCAAACTTTTCGCCGTTCATTCTCGCAAGTATGCAACAAACGAGATAGCGAAGAGGGAATACTTTAATAGCAGCAAAAGTATGTTAACAGCATAAAAAATGGCATTAAAAAGATGTTGACTTTTCAACGATAAGTTTTCTGTTGCTCTAATACTGAAGTTACGAACCTCCATAGAATGAATTTAGCTCTGTGAGCTTTGAAACATTATGAACCTCTTTAAATTTCAGTATAAAGAAATGTAGGTAAATTCTTATCATAAGCCTCATTTTTTCTTTCTTTTTTTAAACATATTATCCTAGTTATTATCCCATAAAACCAAATTATCCTTGTGTTCTTTTTTTTTCTTTTCGCAAAATTGAGTTTTCTTTTCACCACTACTTCAATCAATTACCAAATATTTTTTTCGTTAGATGTTGCTGAGCTCCTCGCAAATTGAAAATATAAACTGTAGATCAAATATTCTACATAAATAAATTCTTGAACTAGCAAAATATTGCCGCAACAGAAAGTCTTTTCAAAGTTCTTCAGTTTTCTTGTTCAGCTTATCTTTACTTATTTAAAAGCATTTTGAAAGTTTCACTTAATTCCTAAAAGTATTCTAGAAAATAAAAAAAATATTTCTCAACGGAAAGAGATACCTGAAGCAAAAAGTATGAGAAACTGTAGAAAAGATCAATTTCTTCAAATCCTCACAACAACCTTAATCAGATTGCTTTCGGAATAAACGCTTTCGGCGATGAAATTTTAGGCGAGGCTCTATAAGTGTGTACATAACTAAATTTTCTAGGGAAACTTTTTTTCGTTCAAAATTTTCATGTTTTAATTTTAAGAGGAACTTAAAAAAGACTAATAACAAGACTTATAAAAATAAGTAGTAAGAAACATGAAGTTATATTTTTACACCTACATAAATACATGAAAATTTCCACTTCAAATTGATGTTGTTACAATGAAAGGCGAACACTTTTCCCACATGTGGATGACTAACAAGGAAGTATTACATGTGCACAGAACAAAAGTATAAGTTTTAGAAGTAATTTCCATGTTTATTTGATGTTATCACAACTCGTAAGTAAGGAAAAGTTTTTCTTCATATTTTTAAAAATTTATCACATCTTTTAAAATGCATTATTAATATTAAAGTTTCACGTCAGACAGTCTAGAAAAATTGAATTTGATATCAAGTTGATGAAGTTTTCTTCATACAGTGATTGGAAAAGTTTATTTATGTTGTAGATAGATGGTTGCTTTTGATCATAAATCTATGATGAAAGAAGCATGTTGAAGTTAGGTTGAATTTTAAGCCGAAAACGGAAGATGGAAGGAAAATCTCATTAAAAAAAGATTTTAAATAGTGAGCATCATGGAAATCTCTCAAATTGCAAGGAAACCAATATTCGAGAGTCAACTAGAGTTTTAATATTAAATATAGGGAGTAGCAATATAGGACATCATAATATGTATTCATGGTTTAGACTTACAAAGATGATTCTGCAAAACAGAACCATCACATCATAAGTCATGGTATTAATAAGGAATCTGAGAAGAACGTATATCTCAATGTTTAAGAGGATTGATGGATTTTTGTTGATGGGTGGAGGTCATGAAGTCCCGAGACGTAAAAGCAACATACAATGAGTGATTTTCCATAAATTTTCCTTCCATTATTGAGCTGTTAAAGTCAAGATATTCTGAAGTGCATGACGAAAAAACATCTCAAGAGAAAATTGCCCCATAAAAGACGTGAAGACTTCTAGACTTAATCGAGTTTGAATGTACTTTGAAATTTGCTTTAAATATTGTCGGCGTTCGATGTTTTCCCGTAGGCCTCTTTTGAAGCAAAACTTTTGATTACAAAATTGAAGTTGAAAGCTGAAAAAACCATTTTGTGGTGAAACATTTGATTTTTCAGCTTTCATTGTCATGAACTTAGTATGGAAAGAAGGTAACAGAATTTTCTGAAGACAACATTGCATATATAAAATGATTCAATCAGAAAAAAGGCTCTCCAAATTTCATAAAATGAAACTTAAAGCTATGTAGAAAAATGCTGCAAAATATTTTATCTTCTTTATTCTTCTCAAAAATTTCCCATAGTTTTATGAATAAATCCATAAATATTTGTTTGTGTGCATGTCTAGAAAACGCTCGTTTACGTTTCAAATATTTATTCTTTACAGAAAAATGGAAAAGGTAGAAAGAACATAAAACAATAAATACTTTTACGAGCTTTCTTCCGAATGCAAGGTAAAATTATTACGAGCGGTGTGTAAAAATTGAATTGCAAGCGTCATAACTCTTCAGACTCTATTCAAATGTGATAAAATGATCTGTTTATGCGATACAAGAGTGAGTATGAAGCTATGAAATAGAATGTTTCGAAGGAAGTGGGCGATGATAATCTTTCTATTATACTTTCAACGCTGCTTTGTGATGTTTTATATATGAAAATTTTCGTAACTGTATCTCTCAAATACCTTTCATATCTAGGGATCGTAGAATAAAATATATTTTTTATCTGCTTGAACGTCGTCTGCGTATCGAGGGGTTTTATATTATATGACATCGTGAAAGTTAAAAGAAATACTTAGAGTCGAAGGTGGAAAACTTTTCACATTTAACATAAGCGAGAGATCATAAAATATTTCAAGCGGAACTGTTGAACAAGTTCAGAATCGTTAAGGAGATTTAATCATGTTGCTTTTTCCTTAAAGATTCAAGGACTTCAGAACGCTTTAAAGACATGAGTTACATATTTAATTCCCAAATGACACTCACCCGCCTTGAAAACTTATTCCTAAAATATTTATGAATCTCAATCTGACGCCGAATTAACTTTTTTCTTACTTATGGTATTGGCACAAACTAAAATTACTACGAAAAATAGAAATGAAGAAATTTGCTTTCCTTTAATTTACTTCTCAACTTTTCTTCCATAGTTTTTATTCAAGAAACGAAAAAAAGCTTTCCAATAATGGTATAAAAAAATACCTTTCAATAACAAAGGCGACAATTTTTTCCATCATATTTTCCTTTGAAATTTTCTCATTTATTTCTCCAAGCAACAAAAACTTTCAATGTCCTCATGGATTGAAGCACACAAAAGCTTTAAACAAAATGAGAATGAGAGGAGCAACTTTTTATGCGATTTTTCCCCTGTCGATTTTATTAATAAAATGAACATAAATTACATCATCTCTTTCTCTCCTTTTCTTATTGTTTCTTACTCTTTCTCGTTCTTCTGCTCGAAACTCAATCCCGTTCAGACTGCGGCTTCGCTTTTGTCGTTTTTCTTATGCACAATGCTTTTCCAAAGGGGGTGTGAAAAAAGGCAAGGAGCGAGAACAATAAGGTGGTTTAGGGAATTCTATTAAACTGAGATTGTGTTTTACTTACAAGCATTTTCGTCTTACTTTAAATATAGCGAACAATGGAATAAATTCCATTCCAAAGATTGGAATGATATTCGTGCTTGAAGACAGGTGAAAGAAAAGAACTTGCGCTTACCTGAAAAGACAGAAAAAAAAGTTAAATTTATATTGCCACCTGCTTCGATGCAATGAGAAGAATGAAAATTCAATGAAATCGAATTATGCATTCTGTTCGACAATCTCTTCCCATTTCCCATTCCAAGTACCACTAACTAACAGCACCAAACGGTCTTTTGTATTGTTAAATTTGCATATACTCTTTTTAAATCAGTCTAAACAGGGAAAAGGTCAATGGATTTGAAAACTAGATAAATAATCTTAAGATTTCTGTTCGTATGACTACGAGTTAAGTTAATTTAAATTCTTTTATTTTACTCGTTTCACTTTTTTAAGTTAGAAATTAGATTCAGTGAAAACGTCAAATTACTCAAATCCATGATGTTTCGTTAAAAAAACTCGTTACTTTGTAAAAGTGCCATAAACTTTTTCTGTTTCCTTTCCCACCTGCAGCGAATTTAATTTCTATTCGACCTAACCCAAACAAGATTTCAGTTTATTATTTTTTTCTTACATTCTATTTAAACCCTCGTGAACCGTCAACAATTTTACGGTCAGATGAGAACGACATTGAAGTTTATTAAATTTCTTTTACAGGTTTTGAATTCACCTTCAGGCGATGAATTGTATACGGATCAGCATCAAACAAAATTTCATGAATACTTCGTAGGTGAAATGAATAAAATAAATTCTGTGCGTTCGCGAGCTTTTCATAAGGACAAAAGCAAAACATCCTCTCATTTAAAATGGATGATTTACACCCAACTCTCACCCACTCACTCTTTTGCGTTACCATCGTGGATATTTGTGGATTTTCATAAATCTCACGCTCGACAGAAGGAGAACAATTAATGATTACTTGACTAGAATTCATCATCAAAATTCAATTAGCTTAGAATTTTTAAATTTATTCATGCATCAAGCTTCAACATGGTGTCTTTGTTCATGAAATTTAAAAAAAAATTATATAAAAGATTATCTTAATTTTATTTCATCTTCTTGATTATTTATGAACTAATTTGAATTAACGATAATGGTAAAGAACTTCACTACAATTTGTTGCAAGCGTTGTTTGTAAATTTCACTTTTTGCTTTGCACAAACCGATGCTTGAACTGTTGCAGTGTGGGATTGGAAATAACGACATGAAGCAATATTTTTTGACTGTCTTCCCCATCAGCTTCACTGCTGGTAACCGCAGAATTCTTGTAAAGCCATTGCATCTCTTCTCCTCCCATTGGCACTCGGAAAGTCATTTTTACCCGTTTCGTGGCAAGCAATAGTTTTTCCTCGACTTCATTTAACAAATCGTTGATTCCAATGAAAGTTTTAGCTGAGATTATTCGTAAGTTATCAAAATTCTGTTGATCTTGTGGAACCAAGTCAATTTTATTTCCAACATTGATAACATTCTCCATTATATGATCAGTTTGATTTGTATTATCTCGAATAAGTGACGCGAGTGTTGTCTCAACATGATTTTTTTGATCAAGCCAGTTCTCATGTGACACATCTTGAACGTGAATTATTAAATCAGCTTCAAGCGCATCTTCCAGTGTTGAGACAAAACATTCAATCAAACCTGTTGGTATGTCGGACATAAAACCAACTGTATCGATAAACAAAACTTCCAAACGACAAGGCAAAAGACCAGCGTGCGCAGTGACATCAAGAGTTGCAAAAAGTTGATCTTTAGGCTGAAGAGTAGCTTCATCTGTTAAAGCTTTTATGAGAGAAGTCTTTCCACAATTTGTATAACCAACTACAGCTATCACGGGAAATTGCTTTTGCTTTCTATTATTTCTTATCATTTTTCTTCGTAGTCTTAATTCTTCAAGCTCATGTTGAATTTTCTTTTCACGCTGCTTCAACATCATCTTTTGTTGATCGCTTAGATAAAATCTTGGTTGTTTTAGTCCAGCACCACCAAGCATTTCAATATCACGCATTTGTAGGATGATGTAAGGAATTTCAGCTAATGCAACTTGCAATTTAGCTTCCTTTGACGTCGCATGTAATCGAAGAATTTGAACAACAATTGAGTAGCGATCCATTACAGGAACATTGAAATGCTCCTCAAGAATTGCCTTTTGATGATATGTCAACATTGATCTGCTGATAAAAACACAAGTGATTTTCTTTCCTTTGCTTCCACTTTGCTTGATCAAATCGCGAAGTTCCTCTAACTTTCCACTGCCAAAAATTGTTTTTCTCTCCATACTCTCAACAGGCACTTTAAGGCTTATTTCAACTTTCCAGTTAGGTAATGTCCTTATGAGCGACTCAGCTTCAGCCAACTGATGCTCTGGTTTAGTCTTAGGTTTTTTCGGTCCCCATTTAATATACGGCTGGATTAGAAGCACATTTTGCTGACCGAGAATATTTTGTGTGACCACATGCATTGCGGCGTTGGCAAGAGTATCATAATCCCTAAGTGAATGATGGATTTTGTGAAATTTCCGGGTCCAACACGGATTATGACATAATAAATAATTACTTACTTATCATCCAACAGATTACAGTCGTCGCCATTGTTCTCATTCAAATCCCCAAAGTCATTCTCTTCACTATTGGAAGTTGCTGCTGGCAGTTTTCGCTTACCAGTTCGGTCACCACCTCCACCACTATGGTTTTGATATTTATTTCTTACAACAATCACATTACTTGAGCTAATCGGTGAAAGCAGTCGGGAATACTTAAAAGTCGATATTCGATGCAACCGGGAAATAAACTTAATAGTCTGAAACATTTTAACTGTCACTTAATGATGTGTGTTTATCTTCTTCAGCGAGCCAACCGGCTTGACAAGATTTTGTTCTCTCTGATGCGATTTTGTAAGCTGCCACTATCCCGACCAATGTTGATACCAAAATATTGATCTTTAAAGTATAGCTCGGAATACGTTTTTGAAGTAGTTTTTGAGCAAAATAAACACTCGAAAATCCTGATGAGTGAAAGCATTTTTTTGTGTAAAATGGGAAAAAAATGAACATAGCAAACTCACCAAGAGTAAATGCCGATAATCCAGCAAATTGTGCCCGAGTCATGCACTCCAAATAGTTATCAAAACCAGGATGTTTTTCTCTTTGTTGGTCTTTTAACTTACGAATATCTGTCATCACTTTTAATTACGTAATGTTTATATTTTATTGTAATTTTTCTTTAAGGTTTTCATTTGCGACGACAAAAACAAAAAGTTGGACTCTGCTAAAATGTGAAATATTGATTTTTTGAATAATCCATAGTCAATAAGTTTTGCTCACTTATCAGATAAATGGACTTTTTTAACAATGCTTGAGTCAACAACATTTATTTATTTATAAATTGAAAAGAAAAGATTGACAAGAACTTGTATTTCTTGTCTTGTTTTACTTTGAAGAAAACATCAAATAATTTTTAATTTTTCTCTCTGAGTTTGCGTAGTTTTTTCTCCGCTATGTTGCAGGGATTGGCATTTAACAAGCAATCATTTTTTTAAATGTTTTTAATAATTTAATATGTAAACAGAAAATCAGAATCTCAAATTTCACATTTTTAAAACTAAAGAAATGAGATACAAAATCTCTAAAATAGAACCAGAATACATTGAAACTCTTCAATTGTAATTTAATAATAATATAAGAAGAATGTTTGGTGGTTATCCCTGTTTACATCAACTGAATATGGAAGAAATTTTTGAAAATGTGAATATGCAATATATCGGTAGATAACATATTTTCAACGAATATATAAATGTTTTTTCTAAATTTGCATCATATTTTACTTCTACTATAGATAGTTGATAAAGATGAGATTTCTCTTATCTAACTGAATTATCTCCATAGACCGACAAGCATTTAGTACCAACATTGAATCATTCAGTTACCATTCTACATACATATTCTCTCATCAATTGTAAAAGATATGAAACATATTGATTATTTGCAAATAAATATTGCAGTCTGTTGACGTTTAAAAGCGTCGTTTGTAGAAAGCATACTCTTAATAATAAAAAAAAATCAAATTATTGGAAGATAAAAAAATGATATTACTTCAACCTTTTACAATTTATTTTTTAACGAATCAATAACATAAAACGTTAATTATATCTTCCTTAACATTATTTGCCCAAAAATTGATGGTTCATTTCATTCCACACAGAAAATTATCTATAATTAATTGTAATTTTATGTTTGATTTCATTGAAATTTTAATGGATATTTCGAATTTGTAGCAGCGAAAATTTCATTTCTTTCAAAGTTCAGCATGTTCAAAATTTCCTTGTCAAAACATGATGATATTAACAATTGATTTTTTAAAGTAACTTAAGTTTTTACCAAGCAAAAAAAGTTCACTTATGCTTGTAAGTGCATACTAACTGGACTGCAAAATATATAAAATTTATACTACCCATCTGCCATAAATTTGATACACCTGGCTAAAATTGCATTTAAAATGATCTTATAGCAAAACCATAAGAATATATATTTTTCAACATATTACAAGTTGTAGGACATTGAATTGAAATAGAAGAAATAACTATTTAAAAGTTAATGACCTAATCGCACGATGCAAAAATTAATTGAAACTTCCGATTTCACTCAAGATTCTCAATAATTTAAAGTTTCTAATTCAGACTTCTAATTTATGTAAAATTACTTAGGAAAGTTCAGAATTTCTTGAAAAATGTTCAACACCTCTTTAATAATAGTTTAGTTTTTGAAATAGAAAGTTAGAAATCATATTTTTATAAGCTCAAACTTGTTTAAAATTTTTGGGACGAAAAACTTTTAATATTTCTTGAAACGACAATACGTGACAAAAAAGTTTCAGTTTTAAAGTTCTTAGAAGTCAGTACAGAAACTTATGCCACGGCAACGTTTTTATGACTCCATACTCAATTAACTTTTTTCAACTTGAAATATTAAATAAGGGAATCATAAATTCAAGTCTTATAAATCGTCAGTTTCAGCCGGAAGCGCAAATTTCTTGATGAATTTTAGAGTTTAGCAATTTTGTTCTTTCCTGAAAAGCTGTTATGATGATTATGACAAGAACATAATGTTGTATGTAGTTTAAAATGATTTGTTTCAGTTAGAGAAGTTAAAGTCAGTTTACAAATGTTTACGTTATTTATCCATTTTAACACATTATGTTTCGTTACGTCCTCTCATTATGAGATTAGTTTTGATTGATTCGTGTTCAAACACTAAGAAACATCCTTTTATTGTAACTTGCAAGCAATAAAACTTTTGTAAATAATTTAGTAAATTAACTAACAAGCTCGCAAATTAAAAATTTTAAATTGTATAGAAAATGAAGCATTCATCGGTACTTCAATAAAATCTCAAAATGAACACGTAATTTAATGGTATTTAGATAATGCGGCAATTTGTTTTAATGTCCAAAAGCTTTCTAATGTTCTAAAGCACTTACTGATTTCAGTCTATAATGTCTTACGTAACATATCTAACGTGATTTAAAAGTGAACAAGATAATGTTTAAGAAGACTTTTCGATTTTCAGAACTGCTTTCAAATTATATTCTCATCGATTTAAAGAATTCTTTACTTTAAAAATTGCAGAAATTAAATATCTACTATGGATGGTGCAATAAAAGGATGAGTTTAGTTACAAAAATATATTCAGTTTTCCTTACTTAAAATGATAACGATTTTATTTTAATAATAGTCTTAGTTTTCCTAGAACACTTTTTCTTGCACTTGCACCATCTTATAAAATAAAATAAAAATACCTTTTATTACTTGTCTTCGTTCATGATGCTTCTTGATAGTTGTGACGTTTTATGTTGAGCGTAATAATGTCTTAAATATCATAAGCCTTTTTAAAGGATTATAATATGTAAAGTAAGAACGCATTTTCTTTTCTTATTTAGGTTTCTTACTTAATGAGATGAGGGCGTGACATTACTGTTATGACTGTCAAAAGAGAAGACTTCAGCAAACTGTAATTAAATATTCAATTCAACCCTCTAATCTGTTCCACCAACTCTCCGCTTTAATAAAGAAGATTATGTAATAATTCATTAGGAAAGTTTTCTTCGTCTTTCATCTGTGTCGCTTCTCATACTCTACTAAGATCCGTTTCCGCAAATATTGTTGACTAAATACACGAAAAATCTTTGTAAAAGTAAAAGATGAAAAATATGCAATGTACATAAAACTTCAAATAAATGAAATAGGAAATATTTTATCATAGGTGCTTTGAAATTTATATAGAAAAATCAATGTTTTCATATATGGTCAAATGCTGAATACTTAGATAGATGGAGAATATTTATTTTCTCTGAGATACACTCAAAGTTACAAAAGAAGTTGAAGGAAACAATTTTTAAGGAATAATTTGATATTTTAATTGTATTTGCACATTGATTACTTTTTAAATGAACAAATTGTCTCATTAATCCTAACATTTTTATGAACTCGACATTAAACATATGTTTATTACTTATAATGTGCATCTATCGTGCGAAAGTTTAATTGTAAAACATGAGTGCTTACTAGCAATATTCGTTTGGCTAGAAACAATGAAATGTGAAATATCTTTTATTGTCATAGACTAGTTTCGATGACAAGATGTTATAATCATGAGGATTTTCTACAAAGCAATGCATGGAAAAATTCATTAATATTATTTGGTGGTCTAAATGCAAATTGAACAGCAATGGTTTTTTTTCTTATGAGTTTGGAAATTCTTTCTGAAATACTGGAAACATAACTCATGCTGCAGAATTTTTTGTTAGTGTTGGTGGTTGTTGAACGTGTTTTTTGAAAAGAATGAAAATTCTGCAGCATGACTTACATATGTTTCCAGTATTTAATAAGGAGTTTCCAAACTCTTAAGAAACAAACCCGTTGATGTTCAATTTACATTTAGACCATAAAACAAAGTTAATAAATTTTTCGAAAAAAAAAACTAATTGGATTTTAAAAATGTAATTTACATGCAGAAAATTGTCTCAAATTTTTGTAGGAAAATATTAATGTAAAGTAAGATTCATTTTTAATAATTTTTAGAATTTCCTGCTAATAGTATGAGAATCGTAAATTGTTTTAACATCAGCATCAAAAATATAAATTCGTTGTTAGGTGCTTACAAAATATATCAAGCAGACAATTCGTTACTCAATGTTAACATGCTGAAAACTATTTTATAACTTATCGCTTTTGGACACTGAACATCTATTGGAAAGTAATTTTTTATCCTTTTATATCAATTTATAAAGCAGATTTATTTAGCTTGCAGAAATGTTTCAATAAACTATCGTACATCAGTCTCTAAAAGCTCAATAGCAGGCGGAAGCATGTACGATTCAGAGGTATTATTGATAAGAAATGTTCCGACAGTCAAATTTCAGTAAAATATTTGGTTAGTAAAATGCTTTGCCTGTCATTTCAACAATTCTTATTTTTTCTGATGTCGACAGTTGGTAAATTCTGATTTCTATACGAACAAAAATTAATTCAGTTTGATTGAGCAGGCAGTAATAGAAACGACTCATCAAAGTTATTTGATATTCTTACAGTTTCGAACAATGAAAATGGTATGTAGTAATTTGTACGGTTGTTCCCACCAAAAGAGAGATGATGATAGAGAGATCGAATCAACGTAACTAGATAGTAACTTTACAATATAAATTCTTCAATATCAAACATTTATCATTCGACAGATTTGTAATGTAATCAATGAATAAGGCTCTCGGAGATTTTGTTCTGTTTTATTGTTTCTGACAAGTTTTTTCTCCTCAAATGTAATTTTGCTTTTATTCTTTAGAGGAAATGTAAAGGATTAAAACCATATTTTGCTGAAACGAGTAATAAAATTTGTGACATCTGCTAGTTGCAACGCTTAGTGCTCACTCATAAAAATCGAGACGGTATGTAAAGGATAAGGGAGAATATTTGTTATTACTGCACCCACGAGTTAAGTCATCATATCCTTCTTACAGAATTTTATATCCTATTAATAATCTTTTTTAACATAGCGCAATTAATTTTTAAGGTCAAACTTTGAGTCTGCTTCATGTGAACTGGCTTCAACGTTTTTCATGTTCTACAGAAAAGAAAATAAAAATGTCCATGACAAACGACAAAATGGTGCATAATTTATTTTTTACAGAGTTTCAAATACATAACTCATAGGATTATAAAACTACTTTTCTCAAAACATGCAAAATTTATAGTTGGGCTAGTTAATTCATTTTTGTAACTCATTAGATCTTTCCTTTATGAAAACAATATTTTATAAATTATCCTAAGATTATTGAAGCTTAAAAAGTTGAAAAAGTTATATTCAGTAATTGAAGTCTGAATAAGTGAGATTCTATGATAAAGTTACAAAAATAAACGAAAAGAAACTGTTGAAGAAGTTTCTTCTTTTAAAGTTTTTACAAACAGATTCATTTTTGGTTTTCCAGATGGGAAAACTGTTGCATCTTACTGGTTCAATTCATTTAAACTGCAAAGTCATAAAAGTAGAGAAAAAAAATCAAAGTTCTGATTTTTCCAAAAACAATCCATTTATTTTAAAAAGTCGGCTTAATCAGCACTTTTCCAAAATGCAAAAATCAATTTATCTTACAATAAAAGTTATTTGAAGGAATCCAGAAAAGAACGAAATGGATACTTGGAAAAACATTGAATTTAATATTAGAGATTTCATAGAACTATTTAAATAAATAATTTATTAGATTCTTTTTCAAACACTAATTCAACGCCTGAAAGTTTCAATTTAATGAAAATATTTTTCACTTCTAAATAATTATATTGGGAATTTTATTCATTAGAGAAAAAAGGGTAAAACTAGAGGTTTTACTGCTTCAATCAATTATCTAAAGCTCATTATTATTATCATGTCCAAAACGTTGATCAAAAGCAGTTTCTCTCTTCGAATCAATGTTGAAAATTATCTTTCAAAGGAAAGTCGTACAACTATGAAATTTTATATCGTTGATTTCATTAGTAATTTAATCAGAACTTAATAACACATTCGTAAGAGGATGGCTAAAATGAGAATCTTTTGACATTTGGATATATTTTGTAATTCTAAATAATGGGAAATAAATATTTTAAATATACGCAGCAGTGAAATCAAAATTAAATCCTTTCGGGATTTTTCACCCTCGAAAGTTTATTGTTCAAGGAAAGACTAGCGTTGAGTTTTCATCGCAACAAAAACTTCCTAAATATCGAATGAGAAAGCCTGTTTATACATATCACATTCATGAGGTAGATCCATAAATTTAAATTTTACATGAGACTTCAGGACTATGGTTATCAGTGAGCGCTCGTTACCTGTACATGTGTAGTAATACCTTTACTATAATATGGGTGAAAATTTTATATTAGATAACAGAACAAAGTTAACAAATAAAACAACCTAAATGAGTGGTTTTAAAAAGCTAATAATTGAAAATAAATAAAAATATTTTTGTAATGTGAATTATTTGATCAGTGACATAACGATTAAACCTTCTTAATCACCAAAAGATGATTAAGTATTTAGACGTTCGATTAATATTTTTTAATCATGCTTATTATTGGCCAAATCTGCATTCTCTTTGGTTGGGAATGAATACTTTTTTTCAAAAATCCGTTTCTATATCATTTTTGCGATTGAAGAAAAACCTAAGTATCCAAGTATGGCAGTGACATCAAAGCAGTACAAGAATACATAATATTCATCAATCTATGTTTCTTGTATGCAGCGTCAGTTAAAATTACAGTTAAAGTTTGCTTATTAAAAGAATTGCCCTGTTATTATTTTTTTCTCATCACTTGTGATAAAAGGAATGTCCAAATAATTGCGAGTTGTCATTTCAGAGAAATTTGCATCCTAAATATGCTGTCTGATTAGCAATGTTTTTTAGTGACATTAGTGAGACACTTAAATTTTTTTTCAGAAATATCCCTTGTTCTGGAGTATTTTCTATAAACTTTTTCTTAAAAGCATAGCAGCGTTTTTTTTAAAATTCATTAACTTATGAGGAAATGTTTATGTGTAACATTAATATTCTCTTCATGTACGTTATAAAATTTTTAAAAGTTGCATAATAATATTGATTCATCCCGAGCGGCACAAAAGGCGATATCTCTCACAAATCTGGCATACGAGTATCGTCTCCATTTAATGGGAAGGCTTTCCTTTAGAATCCGCCATATGAAAGACATTTGGCTAAAACTACTGGCTATCGCCTAATTCTATCACCTTAAGTTAGTTATGTGTTGGACTAGTGAAGAATTTCTTAAGCTGCCTTATGGTAGCCTTATTTAGAGTTAATGGCATGTGGGGAAGCACCATAGCGTCAACTGTTAGTGGTAAATTGATACTTCGGTGATTTTCGCTGATTTCTGAAGGAAAAGCCAAAGGAAGTGCCAACTAAAAATCGTCGTAGTGCAAACGTATGCCTCCGGCACGGCGAGTGTGTGCCGCTCGGGCATATAACATATGATGAAAATACAAATAATACACAACTGGAAGCAAACACTTGATATAACATTCAAAACCAGTAATTACGAATGGTTGGTCAGGAAAATGATAACTGTTGAACATTTTGTGAATTGCATAAAATTTCATGCATGAAAAGTGATAGTATTTCAATAAAGAAACTCTGTTTTCTTTTAAAGAAAATTTTATGTAGTTCAATGTTAAATTTTCCCTAAGGTAGAAAATTTTTCTTATTGGTAAAGTCCCATAATAATAAACTTGTGAATGCATCCAGCAATTTGAAACCACATAACCAAATTTTCACTTATTAAAATTCATTTAGATTCCTTTATGCTAATACTTATGAAAATATCTATAACTCTCGTAGTATCATTTCAGAGTTTTCCAACAAAGCATTTTTTCTTTTATTTTCATGCATATCTTTTATGAAACAAGCAGCAAAAGCAAAACAAACTTAGAGAATGTAACATGAAAAAACAACACAGTGAAGGCATTTGATGAATGTTAATGAACCTCGAAGGAAATTATTTCACATGATGCATAGCGAGGGCGAATGAAAGAAGAGAAAATCAAGCCGCAAGCAGATCCCTATCAGCATATGCTTCCAAAATCCTAAGAATGATTAAAGAAAAACAAATGTTTTCATCTTGACAGAGAGAAGGGAAAGAGACGGCAAAAAAATATATTCGAAAAATCTCCAGAGGCAAAGAGATGAATAAGTATTGTAAGTAACTGGAGATTTAGAAAAAAAGAACTCTTGCGAATTGAAAGATGTTAAGACTTAGTACATGTTTTCAATGTCTTGAACTTTTTTCTCGCATGCAAAGGACGAAAAGTAGATTTAGGAGAATCCCAAAAGAATGCTTATCTAAGCTTGGAAACAACTTAAACATTTGCTGCCATAGGCACGAAATAACATAAACAGACCAATGACAACCAAGTTTGAACTTAAGCTTTTAAATTTGCTATCATCGCGTTTAAAATCCTGACTTTTTTCCTTTTTAGGTATTATGTATAAGAGAAAAGTTTGAATAAATCTCTAATCTTAGAAGAAAATTCTAACATACATACATGTAAAGCAGCTTGAATTCATAGGCATATAAAATTTAATAAATAATCAGACTTTGGTGTTATTAGAACCATAAGCGCTTTCTTTTATTTTTCACTGTTTAATAAGCAAAATTTTGCTACATCTTTTCAACTTTTATGACAATAAGTAATTTAAAGTAGTAGATACGGGTATATATATGGATACAATATGATATTGTCTTCAACAAATTGAAATTTTATTGTTGCCGATTACAACCAAAGTTTAACCTAAATTTTATAGTTCCCAAGACAAAAAGCCACAACGAGAATATCAGGGAAAGAAACAATTCATTTAGATATAATGCAACTTCAACATTTATTCTATTTTGCAACTTGAATAGCATGACTCAATTTTCTAAAGTCTCTAGCTTTCGTGAAAATAGTTTTAATGATTTACAAATAAACATTTATGAATGGAGTGCAATCAATCATGTTTTATTTGAGGAGTTATTATGAATATTTTTATGCCAGTATAAAGATTCATCCGTTCCATAAATTAATTATATTTTTAAAGTTCATGATGATTGTTTTTTAAAGCAGATGACGTCGATAAGGCAATATAGTTCAAAAAAATAACGTGGCAATGACGAATCCTTTTATTTTCTCTTGAACGCTAGCAGCGCCATTTTCACATAAAAGCTTTTAAAAACTTTTACTGAAAGCTCCATCTGAATAAAAGCTTTAAAAGTTACTTGGCTAAAAGCCTTTCCAAAAAGAGAGCAGAATTTTTCATTGGAAAAAGCATTCAATTGTTTATCGTAAACGTGAGAAAGTTTGCAAGATAATAAATTACATATTTTACATTGTGTAATAATATGAGAGGAGTAAATGAAATAGAAAGAAGAAGAGCAACTGGAATAACTTCACTAAAGTGAGGAAAGATATAAATCATTTCTTTCACCTTTCATAGTTCTCTTCTTTTCGAAAAGTTGAAGTTATTAATAGTCCGGTTTACCGCAATAACATATCTTTCAGATCCCCGTAAAGCTGATGACAAAAAAAGGAATTTTGATGGGAGGATGTCGAGCAGAACTTTATGGAGAATAAAAAAAAGTCATCACTCACCTGAATGTGTGGTGATCCAAGAAGGTGAACAAGTTCAGCTCTATCTCGAGAGTATTTATGACTTGTCGCTGCTTGAATAGCATCAACAGTGTCTCGACATCGATTTATCGCATCGCCTGGGGGTGCTCGAGATGGAGACATAACTTGAGAACTGATCCTATCAAAGAGCTGAGTAATAGAAAATTAAAACATTTGTTGCACATCATTCTTGTTTTCTTGAATCATCCAAATGAGTTCACATAATTAAACTTTTACGGTGAATTTACCTGCAACATCACATGTAATCTGTTGTCTCTGAGCATAGAAATTAAAACATCAGGATCGATTTGTGTATCTTGTAGTGCAGAAATATCGTCAAGCGTATCGAGAATCTTCTGAACAGCTTCGATTCCAGCGTCTTCGTCAGCCCATTCGTTTAAGCTCTCAGAGGCTGTTCCAATTGCAACTTAAATAAGAGCAAAGGAATTTATTTATAAAAACCTATATAGATTAATGTAATTTACCTGAATCAATGTCATTACAACATAAAGGATCTAAAGAAACACCGCTTGATATCGCTTGTACTGCACCTTTCAACTTTCTTCGTGCGTTAAAGCGCTTTAGTTCTTCAACAGTATCATTTAAATGTTGTCTCTGTAGCTTTTCTCGATCCTATGAAAATGAAAAGCCATCTGAGTTTATGTAGACTTTTAATACTCCTAAGGGGAGCAGAAACGAAGTTGGAAATTTTTTACACATTTCAAATCTAGAATAATACATTACATTGGAATCTTATATGACACATAAAAAAAGAAATTAAAACAAATGAAGGATCTTCAATATGTTTGTATTTTTTTTATGGGTATGAGTCTTTATCAAGACAATCCAAGATCATCCAAAACAAACAAATATTGTAGAATTCACAAACAACATTTACATAATATTTTTATTTCTTCGATTCTTCTTTTTTCTTTCTTCAATGACATTCACTGATGCAAACAATAAATCCTCGTGAATTATTGTCATTATGTTATTCAAAATGCTTTCACTTTTCCATGGAATTTTTCTTCATTAAATGTTGAAACTTTTACTCTCCATTATTTATAAAACAACGAGTGGTATAAATAGCTGAATCATTTCGGAATGCGCTTTGACGGGAAATAAATCTAAAAACCGACTCGCAATAACATTAAATATTTTAAGTAAACAGATTTTGTATGAACAAATTTTGCTCCCCATGACAGATTTTTTTTCATTTTCTTATTTTTTACTGGCCATAACTTCACCTGGCCTCAAAAATTATCACTTCATAACTTTTTCCCATATTTCCTTTACGCTTTAATGCTTTTACTGCTAGGAATGAGGCGAAAACAAACATGGAAACGAAATTAAAAAGTTTTTCTAAATTTCTTTCTCATCCTACATCAAGGCTTATGATTGTATGTTACACGTCAGTTAAAAACGATAAAACCAAAAAGAGAGAAAGAAAAATTCCAACATTTCTTTTATCTCCATCCACTTCCGAGAGGTTTAAGTTAAGTGAAATTGGCAGGCAGCATCGTTGCGAGGTGAATGTATGCGTAGACTTTTTTTCCGAATCTGATTAGAATAAATTATGAAGCATATTGTGAATTTCCATCGTTTATACCGAACATTAAGGAATTGTCACATCGAATATTTTTTGTCTTTGTTCAAATACATGTACACAGCTTACACTGCTTAATTTAATAGAAATTGTATAAAAATTTTAATGTCTACCTGGACCATTAAGTGGTGAATTTATTAAGGAAAAATTTCCAAATCATCTCCTCATGAAAAATATAAGCAAATGGGTAATGACGCGTAAACTTACCCGCATCCATGGATGATCTAAAATTTCCGACACCGATGGTCGATGATGTGGATTAGGCGATAACATTTTCAAAACTAAATCTTTGGCAGTTGATGATATTGATTTCCACTCAGGCGTCTCCAGCTGAAAAGTTAAAGAAGAACATAATTAACGGTTACAGACGCGTGTATTAATAAAAATAAATTAGTTTTGCTTTCAACCATTTTTGACCAAAAAATTAAAGATTAAAATTAAACTTATTGATGTAATAATTTTTTGACTATCTATGAAAATATTTTAAGACGTTGGAAAAAAAATTAACAAGAGTTATCCTTTGCGTGATTAATTATTTAACACATACCGTGACTCGTCCTCGGGCAATGGCTTCTTGCAGCCGTCGTCCGGAACCGTTGAAAGGTAATCTTCCAGAAAGCAAAACGTGGAGCATTACACCAGCCCCCCAAACATCGCACGCCTTCCCATATTGACGTCGTGTTAAAACTTCTGGCGCCATATAATGGGGACAACCAACACGGCCTAAGAAAGAGAATCGAAAGAAAAAAGAAAGTAGAGATTTCCTCTCATCAAATAAAAATCCTTTTAAGTTGTGACAAGAGGGGGAAAAAGTAAATTAAAATTACTCTAAAAATAAGCACACGAGCATCGTTAATTACACAGAAAAGCTTATAATCGTAACACAGACTGACAACATGTAAGAAAGTCGTGGGGAAGCAACATTAAGAAGTATTGTTTTTATAATTAATTGTATAACATTAAAGAATAAAAGAGATGAAAAAAAGTAAAAGTTATAAAGATTTCTTCATTATCATTTGATGATTTATAACAGTGAAAATTGAAGAATCATACAATTTAAAAAAGAATAATGTATGAAGTGCAGGAGAAAGAAAGAGTGAAGCAATGTGTATACAATATTTTTCACAAAATTTATAAAATCACTCAATGTGGATGATTCTTCTTAAAATCATGAATGAATAATTAATTCCCAAAATTATTGAATTGTGAGCTTCTTCTTTTAATTTTCGACATACGTAAGGATGAAGATGATGAGATAAATTTCGAAATTCCACAAACACGTTGTAAAATATAAATCTTGTTATGATATTTGAATATCGAAGAGAGTCCTTTCCTTCAGCGAATGTGAAATCTAATATCTACTTATTTTACGAAGAATTATTTCTTTCAATTTTCTGAATGAAAACTAATGTTAGATCCGAGTAAGTATCTAAATACCTAAATATTTCTTTGATATTCAAGAACCGAATTTTATTTTACAAACATTGAATGATTTTAATTGAAATTTTAATGGAAGATTTGCTATTTAAATAGATTTTCATTTCACATATTTACGCAAAAATAAAACGAAACAGTATGAATCACAAATTGATTATCATTTATGAACACATTTATTTATCATACTTTTCATCATAAACATTGAAAAAACTTGCAACGACTTAATTGAAAATCTTGTAGATAAATTGTAGAGGCATAACGCAATTATAGGAGATTCAATAAACATTGCTCGAAAATATTCACAACTCATGAAAAGTATATTTTATGGGAATATATTTGGTCAAATTGTTTTCAAAATTTCGAAGAAACTCAATGAAAGGATTTAGAAAAACAAGTTCTGAATACACACTTCCTTATGTTTTACATAGTAGGATTTTTTCTTCAAGTGTTTAAATATTTACAAAATGTTCGAAAAGATTATTTCCGTCAATTTAGTTATATCCAATATCCATCAATCTGTGTGAAAAGGAAGCCTTAAAGATTGACTATGCTATCAAACGGATCAGAAAAAGACCTTTTCTATCCGTCATCCTTCTATCCGTGGATAATATTTAGCTAAGGCGTTCGTATCAGATTCATACCAAATGGAAACTTCGCTCAATTTCTATTGTAAGTACTTTTTCAAGACCATTTGAAAAATGTTTATTGGCAAAATATTTTCAATTTCTTATCATAGAAATTATACTATTACATTCCTATATAAACTCATTAATTAACAAAAAAGCTGCAAATATATACTTATGTACATATCAATCAAAAAACGAAGGAGAAGCCTTCATGATGAACTGTCATTAAAACTTCTAAGCTCATCACTTGCTACAGCAAAAAGTATTTGCAATCAAATTAATCTAAAGAATGTGATGTAATAGTTTCCAACATGATATTCAAAGACCATAATAAAAATAAATCTATTGCAAATAGAAGTTACTGATGTACGAAGGAGTTCTATTAAGTGTACAATGAGCAAATAATGTACGAATTCTTAAGAAAAATCCAAGAAAGTAGACTTCTTCTTATCGCGTGATTATCTTCAGATGAAGCAAGATTTACAGCAACATACCAAAACTCTGTTCTTTGTGGCACATTTTTTGAAAGCTTAAGCCTAAACGTACTTTTAATTGATATCAAAGATTGAGAGATTAGAATGCAAAAATTGTAGAACAAATATTGGATATCTACATAATTGAAAAACTGCTGAAGGTTTGAAAATAAATTTCTTATCGCTCGGTTGTCAAACCCGAATTTTTCAAAAGCGAAATTTATTTTTGTCGTCATATATAATTTAATCTAGAAACGTTTCTATTTGAATTATCATACTTCAGAAACACGAGTATTTCTTGTTTTCTTTGATAAATAACACAACAAGTTTCACTTTCAATTTTCATTTGACTAAATTTATCAAATTGAAGACCATTTTATGCTTTGCGATAAATTGTTATCTCCTTTTGAGAGACAACAATCCAACATTTACATATATTTTATGGAACCCTTGAGAGATTCTTGGAGATTTAAATAAGTTTTTGATTTTTGTTTACAAAAATACAAGTTAAAGTATCCACCTAGGTGTTTCGAGAATTAATGAGTCTATGGTTGTTGAAAGTTTAGAAATGAATTTATTTAAAGTTTATTATGCCAAACTATTTGAAAAAAGAGAGGTAAAGTCAAAAGACCAAAGTGGTTTTGATTGCTCTTACGATTGAAATTGAGTAAATAAATAATTTGTAGTAAATATAAAGAGACATCAAGCATTAAAAAGAACAAATGGAGGAAAGTTCAATTTGAATTTGCGATAAATACAAAACATATTCCCACGCGCAACATTGGTTTCTAGCGTTTTATGTGATTTTTATTATTCATATCACACAAAAAGATTGAAAGATTGAGCATCAAGTTGTCTGGAATGACAAATATGTTAGGATTTCAATATGATGTTCAACATCTTCACATTCATCTTACATTTTTTTTCACACACGATGCTTTCCTTTTTGATATAGAACTTGAATTCTATCAAATGCAAATCAATCAGGAATAATTTTATTACAGTTTTTATTTATTTGTTTCGAATAATAAAACATTAGATGCTATTTATCAATTCTGAGACATATTTGCTTGAGTCAGAACTTTCCTAACTAAATATGGCAAGAAATTTCAGCCTCATAAATTAGCAATGAAAAATTAAATATTTATTCTTGTTCTTCCACGGAATTAGACTCTAAGTTTCCCAAAACAGAATCTCATCAAATTATAATTAAATTGGATTACAAAGATCTTCAAAAAACCGATGAAAAAGTTTTTCTTTCATTTTTATTTTACTTTATTCTTTTAACTGTTTCGTTTGAGCATTGTAGGAAAACTTTTATTGTGTGTTTTTATCAAGCTCTTTCATCATACATGGATATTTATATACAGAAAGTAAATAATATTGATGTAAAAGTTTTACAAAATCAATTGCAATTAACAAAGTTTAATAAGATTTTTATGTTGAATCAAAATCTAACTAATCATATGAATAAGACTTAAAATCTCTTTTATTTAGTAATTGAAAATAAAGTTCAAATGTTTCATTATTTCTGTTTTGACATACAAATCAATACAAAAATTTAAATTTTTAATTGAACAAAATACATAAACTGAAAGCTTCAAACTGCAGCCAATTACACAACATTGTTAATTGCACAAAAAGTGAACAGAACACAGAGGCAAAAAGATCATTTATTCCTTTTGCACCGAGAAGGTATTTTGCAATATTGAGTAAATTGAAACACGAAAAACATCCTCACAGTAAAAATTAAAAGTGAAAAGTCAAATATAATAATAATAACGTTAAAAGTTCCCAAATTAGAATTGTATTTTACGATTAAAACAGAACAAATAAAAAAAGAAGAGAATATGTACGTGTTTCAATACATTTGTTGTTCTCAAAAAGTATATGGTGAGAGAAATCATTTTATTTATGCAATTTAGTATTTGTTAAGGAGTTCATAACGAACCTAATTGAAAAAGTACTTTTCATTTGAAAATATTTTTATAACAATTAAATATTTTGAAATAAATATTAAAAAAAATTAACGTGATTGATAATTAATGCAAAAAAAAATTATGAAACATTGAATCAAACTTAAGCTTACCATCAGAATCGCTTTTTAAATAGAGCTTTCCACGCGGGCTTAATTTGTATCGATGCATTTCATTTCGATCTGATATTGTTCGAAGCAAAAAGGGAATATATCATTTTCTATTAGTTAATTTCATTTTCACGTGAATGATAATTTTGCATAAAATTTATGTGTTATTTACATATTGCGTACCACAAAAAAAAAAATTTTGAAAGTAAAGAAAAAATAAGAAGCTGTTCATGTTTTTATTTGATTGTAGATTAAGAAGAAAAGAAATTTGAATATATGTAGATATCTAAATAAAGAATGCTAAGAAGCTCCACGAAAATAAAAAAGAGAATCCTATTCGCCGGGTTTCATTCGGACTAAGGGAAATCCTAATTAATTTCTGTTTTTGACAACTGTGACCTAACGTTTCAAAGGCTCACTTAAGCTTAAAGTTTCGAAATGGAAGACTATGTCTTTAGAAAATGGGAAAAGTTTGATAAGATCAATACAACTGTTCATATCCGTAAGGACCCAGAAAAGAAAAAAGGATGAAAATGCTCCCACGATCCTCCCATGAGGTCAGGAAAACGAACAATAAATGAGACAAGAGATTTCAAAGAAAAATTTGAATTTTTCACCCAGATGTTGCTCTTCATGGTTGAAAAAGCTTCTAAATCACTTGTCAAGAACTCAAGACGAAGCTGAAATTGTGCTTTGTTTATTGAAGGGAACCGAAAACATAAATATTTGCTAACTTACTTGAACTGGTATTGAAACTCTAAAAAAAATTAGCCTGCCAAATTCAACAGAATCAAGCATAAACTCTTTATTTTATGAGATTTTTTATCAAGTTTCATTTTCTCTAACTTGAAACCGATTTCATTTCGTACTTTCATACATCAATAAACACTCGGAATGACCAATGTCAATAAAATGAAATCAGACAGAAGGCCAAAACGATAAATTAGTATAAGAAACTGACACAACAAGAAATTAATATAAAAAGAGCTTATGAAGTCTTGTAAATGAAACCATAGAAAAGTTCATTTCGTTTTAGATATCAATCCGCTTATTTCATAGGAAACAAAAAATCTTCATTTGTTCTGTTAATCACATTGAATTACACATAAAAAAGGCCTTCTGAAATCATTTCTCTATTTTAGCTGTAAACTTATGTCCATTTGAGTCACGAACATCTATCACCTTTCCTCAATTTGTTTTAATCTTCTTACTTAGGATCAACGAAGATCTCGAGAAAAAAATGAAGAGAACCCATGATGATGATGTCACAGATTGTGGAATCTTAATAAACATTTTACTTCTATGATATTTTTTTTGTAGTTTGATATTCTTTTCTAAAAATTAACATTTTTACAGTTTTATTTTCCTGAGAAAATAGAAAAACAAAATTTCATGCTTTTCTATCCGATGCATCATCGAAACGTAAAACAAGAAAATAGTTTTGATACGAAATTGAAGATTTTTCTCTTCTTCCGTAAACTTCTAACAGTAGAAAAAGTAACGAGAGAAGATTGCAGGATACGTGACTGAAGACTTTTTAAAGTTTTCTTGAAGAGGGTAAACTCATCAGAAGGAAACTCATAATAATGAAACAGAAACAAATGATAATGACAAGACGGAAATAAATGATAAATTATTTTGTATAAAAATAGAAAGTAAAAGCAGAAAAATAAAAATAACCTTCATTTATCTTACCATGCGCATCGAGTGTATCTCTTCCATTTGGTAATTGAATAGCTGCACCGAAACCACCCAATTTAACTGGAGCTGAATTGTCTATTGTTGCTAAAAGTGCACAAGCTGGTCGAATGTCTCGATGAATGATATCGTTTTCATGGCAATAGCGCAGTGCTTCCAGTATTTGTCGCATATAATGACTGAAAGAAATGAAAATAATGCAATTAACTTTTATGTCATTCTTAAAAAATTGAAACATTGTTTTTATTTACCATGCAACAGCTTCGCTGTAGACAAATCCATCAACAGCTCTTCGCACAACTTCAAAGCACAGATCTGATCCTTCCATGCTGAAAAAAAATTGAAGATTTGTTTTAGAAAGCTCAGTTAGTTTCATGAATAAATTAAAAATTTTCGAGACAAAGAAGGTTGAGATTGACTGAATGTATAGCGGAATAGTTAAAATTTGCAAAACAAAAACACAATCAAAATGAGGAATAAACATTTTTATAATTTTAAAAATATTCATTGTTGTTGTTTCCATAAATAAATAACGCAACTAAATAACGTAAAAACCACATTTTTGGATCAAGCAAACTTTTTTTGGAAAGTTCTTTAGAAAAAAAATATGAAAATCACTAACATTTTGTAGTATGTATAGCGGCTTTAGAGCTTTAATAAACAGAATAGCTAAAAAGTTCTGGAAACCTCTGGAATCAATTTTACTTGCAAAGTAAAGGGAAAATATTCAGTATTTGACATCTTTTTCATAGTTGATTTCACTCTCAAAGAAAACATTAATTTAGAAATTTGAATGAAATTTTCAATGATATATCCCCATACTAAAGACTGACGTATGTATTCAGAGCTGTCACAAATAATTTGAATGTAAATCTTAAAAGTATCAAATATTCACGTAATGGAACTTTAACCCAATACGTGACCTCATTCTACAACCATCCCTTCAGACGAACATCAAAAGGATGAAAATAAACTCCTATGGTTAATTCAATAAGACGTATTTATGTATACCTACATATATACATCAATGTGTGTAAAAAACATCACGAAATAAGAACATCAATCCCTGAGGAAAGGATATGAATGACTCTCAATGTCAAAATGCGCTTCATGTTCTTGTTTTTTTCTTTATTTCAAATATGTATAACAAATACTAATTGAAAATGTTGTTTTATGTTCTGATGCTGAGCGTTAGTAGCATTGGGAAAGTAAAATGTTATTTCTATATTTTTTTATATTTTATTTGTATTTATTACTAAGTATTAAGGTAAACTCAAGTGTTTAAACGTGATTAATACAGATGAAAATATAGATGCGATAGATTATGTCAACATATCTGCACAAAATTGAAACCTTTATGCAGTTTCAATTAAAAAAGATTATCCATTAAATATTCATTGTCATTCTTTGTATTCTCATTTTACTGTGATAAAAAGTGAGACGTTTCGTGCAGATGCAAGCATAATTTGATGTCGAATACTTTAACTATTTTACTAAAACATTTGCGAAGAGAACCTTAATCGTGTTTTCGAAATATTTTGCATTATTCAACAATTACAAAATAGGTTCTAGTTATATCAACTCTTGTAATTGAAAGCCGCAACAGTGAAATATTCAACAACATCAAGATCTTTAAGTTTAATCTGGCTTTTGTTCAGTAAATAAGTCAGAGAAATTTCGATTTCAAAGTCAATCTGTATTTTTTTTTGAAAGTAGATATTTTTTATTCATATTATAAAAGGCGACGATGTTGGATACTTACAATTCAAACACCATATACAGCATGCCTTCTGAGCTGTAAGTTTCCAGCAATTCTACAATATGTGGATGTTTCAGCATGTGACATATTGTTGCCTCTCGTTTCAAATCTGTTTCAAACATAAAAAATTCAAGGATGATTATTTTTTGTAACAAAAAAATCTTCATGAAGAAATGATAACAAGCAAATGATAAATCACTGAAAAATTGAGAGGCCAAAGAATACCTAGATAAACGACTTTTTATTTCTTACAAGACGAAAGGAGCCGTGAAAAAAAGGAAAAATCACCCCAAAATTTCAAAGGTTTCAAGATTCTGCAGCTTTTTTTTATGATAGGAGAGTCGTTAACATCTATTTTTAAGAACTCCTCGAACTTTTTTTCTGGAACTTTTTGTATCTCAAATTGTGAGAATTTTGTGGAAACATTAAGTGTGAATCCGGCAAAAAAAATCCGTTTGATTTCGTCATGTTGTTTTGAAGTTTATCTTTTTGAACTTTTAGATTTCTTTCGCAAAAATATAAAATGTCTGAAACGATTGTCCAGTATATTTGTAGAACCAAAGATCTTTTCAATACTAAGCAGAAGCCTATTTTCATATTTAGTTATGTAAAATCCTGAAATGTCTGAAAAAAATGGGTAAAGCAAAATTTCGTTTCAAAACATTCTTTCTCCAATTTATTTCAAGGACAGCAAAAGAACTCTTTCCTATTTTTCGTCGTCTCTTTTACAAGCATGACACAAGGCGAGAAATTTCTAAAATTAGATTTATTTTCTTTGAAACTTTATTTCCAACCCTTACTTTAATTATGAAATTAAATTAAACTTTCACAATATTTTCTAAGGAGCTTTTAAATATAATTAAACACAATTTGATGTAATGTAAGACTTTTTGTCACATCGACACAAAATTATCATTCAGCATAACAAGAGAAATGAGTGAGAATGCTGTTGATATTATTGATTAAGGGAACTAAAACAGTGGAAGTGAATTTTGGGTTTTTTGAAATAATTTTTATGATATCTACAATTTTGAAAAACACACTGAAGTAGAAATGTGTGCATTCTGAAACTTTAACAAATTCGTTTCATTATCTAAGTTATTCAATAATTATTAGAACTATTTAATTTCATCAAGTCTAAAAAGCTGTGCAAAGAGTAGCAACTTATGATGATTACGTTTTCAGCAAAATATTATTGTGTCTATGGTAAAGTGAGTAATGAAAATAGTTATTAAATTGTTTCACCCTTTGAAACGTTTATGGTTGCGTTAGATAGAACTATGTATTTAAACAATTACTCAAGTCTCAAAATCACTTAAATTGAAGGCTTCGTTGAGCATTATTAAATAACAGCACATAATTTTGAAAGAAAATTATTCACATTATCAACATGTTTGAACATTTATTGAAAGTTGATAATTGATGAAACCGAAATGATAGCACAGCGATTTAAATTATTATCAGCGTGTTATTGGTTGCTTATAATGATAAAATTATTATTATTATTATTATTAACAGCAGAAAATGAAGATAAGTGATCATTTCGCAATAATTAGAATATTAATACATCATGTTTTTTTGGTGATGAATGTTTAAAATCTAATTCGGATGAAAACCTCATATGAAACTTTTAAGTGTTTGTTGAATATTTAATATCTTTGCTCATATAATCAAGCATAGATAATTCATTGATTTGAAAATAAAAAGATGCGCAGCCAAAATGAAGGTTTTTCTAATATCTAGAAGAATATTTCCACGAAATTTAAACGGTCAAAGATTTTATGTTGACGAAGTTATCCCAGTGTCCCAATATCATCTGAGCAAATATACTTATTTTATTTCTTTATAAAAACCAGCATAGGTAACTTTCAATGGCCTTCTTTACGTCAATATTTCAGAAGTCAGAAATTTTCTTTGTTAATTATAAATTTTAAAATCAAATTTATCGATAAAGTTACATAAATATATCGAAAGCTTACCAGATGTGCTAAGACCAGGGCTGGCGGTAAATTTGGCAACGTCGACAATTTTAACAGCAAATTGTTGATTTGATTCCCGATGTATGCATCTGCGAACGATTGAGAATGGTCCTCTAAAAATAGAAAAACAAGATATGTTTTGAAATTTGGCCTTAAAGAAGTTATTCAGATTATTAAGTTATAAGAAGAATCAATCGGACACTTAACAATTTTATAAGGTCATCATAAATAAAGATTTTCTACCTATAAATTAATAAAATTACAAGAATGTATGAAAACTATCACTGATTGTGTTTGTGATTACTTATTAATATAATTTGTACAATTTATTTATGATTCCTTGAAAGTAAACTTTACTACAGTTTACTGCTGGAAACTTCCGTTCACTCATAAAATCCAAAGAAAAATCTGACGTATTTCCTATTTCCATTTTATTTCCTGCTGTTTCTAATCTTTGAATAAATTGTTTTGTGAATCAAACATGATAGATTGAACTAAGAAATAAAATTGACAAAAAAATGATTGGTTTCATGTTCACATCAACCTTCGCTCCATTTGTTATTTTCTTTTCGTTTGTTATTTTTGAACAATTTTTCTTTTGATTATCTGTCTATCTTAAGGAAGGGGAATATTTATCGATATTTATCGACTCCATGTCCCGCATAATGTATTAAGAAAAAAAACAGATGCTTGCTTACAAGAAGATCATGTTTTATATGCAAACTTACATCAGCAAAGAATATTTTTCGCATTGATGTACTTATCGGAATTTGAACTTGTTCATATGTTTTTACTTTGAATCTGCCCCGTGATAAGTTCTAAACGACCAACTTTTGTTGATTCATCAACTATTAAAACCGGAGACAAATTTTGGAAACATGACCCCTTGTAAACTCAAAATTCAAACTGAAAATTTTCCTCACGTGTTCGATTATTTTGATACGTGAAACTTCTTCTCGATTCTTTATTATTTGCTTATATCAGGTGATTTTACCTTTTTCCTCCTTTTTATAATTTACATAATTTTATACAAAACTTTTAAGGATATTTGAAACATTAGAAGTATTAAATAAGGCAATATATTTAACACAATCTTAAGTTACAAAAATTCGTACTTCAGATATATCGAGTCACGATATTTTATTGTTCAGAACTTCACCTTTTTTTACTGAGTAAAAAGCACAATATTCTAAGGCAAATGATTTGTCATTGATCAGACAAATTGAATTGAATTCGTATTTGAAACATACAGCACGAGTCGATGGAAAGTGAATACCAATGAGAAACAGAGCATCGTTGTAACGTAACACTCATTTCCTATTCACGACTTTATTGATCGACATTGATTTTGAATCACTTAGTTCATCTCTTTTTTGATTTCATCGTCAAGCTGACGGTAAATATCTTGAAATCAGCATAATTGACAGTCGAGTGTTGTGCATAACGAATGCTTGAAAACAAAGTTAAAGAATTTTATAATAAATTCTAACATGTAGAAAAATAATTATGATAATAATCAAAAGTCATGTAGAATACTTTCATTTAAATATTTTCCAGGAATTTCAGCTTGTTTTTTTACATCAATGGGTGGAAAAACACCCACAATTTGAAACATAATAAAAATTTCTTTGTATGAAAATTTTTTGAGTATTCAGCCACATTACAAACAGTTCAAAAAAAATCTGAATGGCATTTAGCAAGTTCAAGTTTTTTTTTCAATTTAATGATGTGAGCATTTGAAGTTAGTGAAATTAAACAGATACAATTTGAAAAATTCGAATACCTTTAAACAATTCTGTTTTCACCAACCAAAAGGAATAAATATAGACTCTATATTTGCTTAGAATTGACATAATTACCTAGTAAAACTGAAATTATTTTATGCAAGGATCAAATTTTCAGCAAGCAGATACCCCCAAAATATTTACAGATACGATCATATATCAAACATGCGAAATAAGAAATACTTGTCATACTTGTATTGACATTTTATTTTGAATGGTGAATGCGCAATCAATTATCAATGTAATAAGTTTTTCAAAACACAACTAAATTGTTAGTTAAGAAATTTCATAAATTTTCGGAGAAGGATGTTACATAATTCTTACATAACTAACGTTCAAAAAAGTTCTTATGAGAAAACCAGATTGACAAGAAAGAATAAAAAATAAGTAGTTTTTGTACAAATAAATGAAAGAAAAAATACAAATTAAAACAGAATTGCTTTAAATTATTTATTTTTGCTCTGAATAAAAAATTTAAAGCAATTATTGAAACATGTTGAGACCAATAAAATTAAAACGAAAATTTAAAAATGAATCAGAATTTTGCTTTCACATTTTCATCAAGTAAAAGCTATGTTTTAATGTCTTTCATAGAACAGGTGGTTTTTTATTTGTATTAATGATTCCTGTCACCTTAAATAACTGAAATTCTCCTAGGAAAATATTTCGTCATGATAAATATTTTATCTTCAGAAAGGTTTTTGTTGAAAATTGAAGCTGCAGTGTAATGTTGACGATAAGAACGACAGCTTTTGTCATCAGAATCCCGTAATCACGAAATAACGTGACACCTTGTCATGAAAATTTTTGTTATGACGGTGAAAGTTTGTTGTTATTTCCAGAAAAGATTTTGATATGATTTGACAAATATTGCTAGTTTCCAAATCAGAAGATTTTCTGAGATATTTAAGCAAGAATATTTTGCGGGGCGACATAAATAATCAGGATCATGATCTAAAGTAAAACAAAATGGCATTCATGTGTTCGAAAATAATGTTTTTGTTTTCGTTTCTAGCCTGGAAAAAAATATTTATTTTTATTTCTGTTGCACTACTGAATTTTAAATTTTAGTAAACAAAATATGTATAAGAATCAGAAAAAAAAATTAATTCTATGTTTTTATATTGATGCTTATGTATGCAGCTAGTAACAACCGATGAGAACGAATAATAAAAAATTAACTCGTGTAACAGTACAGAAGAAAATTTTTTTTCGATACTTTTTCTTCTTTTATATTTGATTATCAAAAATGATGGAAAGT